TGGGCTTTGGAATTTGACAAGCCTTCCTTTTGTTAACTGTGTGCCCCTGAACAAATTGGCGTGTCTCCATCTGTAAAATGAGGATATTTCATTGTATTATAATGAGGATAAAATGAGATTTTATATATATATATATAAAATGCCTTTCCCAATTGGTAAGTACTCAGTATTTGAGAGCTGTTGTTATTTATTATCACTACAACTACTACAACATTAATGAGACAAAAATGTTCTACGTAACTTTGAATACTTAATATGCTATTACACATGATGGTAATAGAATTTTCAGAGGAGAGGAAGTTAATATAAATAGAGGAAAGTAAAATTTAGGAGCAAGAAAACCCAAAAATATTTGTAAAAGTATTAGGAAAAAGAAAATTCTTTAAAATTTATATAACTATATATATTTATATACATATATTAATTCTTACAAATATATAGCATTACTAATCTACTGGATAAGTGGCCAAAAGTTGTCCAAGCTGACCTCAAATATGTAATATGTGGCTAGCTGGAAATGAATTTGGGGGGGGTAGATCCAACCCACTACCACTGAGCTACATCTCCAGCCCTTTTTTGAGACAGGTTCTCATTAAATTTCCCAGGCTGGCCTTAAATTTGCCATCCTCCTGCCTCAGCCTCCTGAGTAGCTGCGATTACAGGCTACACTGCCTGAGTTGGAAGTTAATTTTTAACTGCATAAATTTAGGTAAAATGTTAAGAGATACTACAGTTAGAATTATATAATGCATTTGCTACTGAAAATAAAGAAAATTACAGATACTGGAAGGAATGCTTTGGGGATTTACACACCTGGATAGGTCAATTCATGTTATGTTGGTGTGAAAGGAAAATCTGTTTCATTAATGTAAATCATACAGTCCTCATCACAAAGGTTTTCTAAACTTTTATGTACCTGTGAGTTGTATACTTCACTTGTAAGTCATTTGGATTCTTACAATTTGTCAGATAGCTTTTCTAATACTTAACTAGAATTTTCATTGGTGACCCACTATTGAGTAATGATTAATAAAAATAAGAGTTTAACTCTAATTCCATTTATTAGCTGTTATAATATTTAGGTTAACTGCATAACCTCCTCAAGTTTCTGTTTCCTCATCTACAAAGTATATAGTATATCAAAGAATATCATGAGGATTCAATCATATGCAGTAAGCAACACAACTAGTACAGCTCCTGACGGATACTCTAGCCAATAAATCATAATTATTACATTTAAAGCAGGGAATTACTTTCAAGATTTCTACAATTTATATTTCCTGATATTATCTTTATTATTATTCTTTTATCATTAAAGATGATTTCAAAGTTAAACACACCTAAAACTGTGAACTTCATGAGAGCAATGTTTTTTTTTTTTAATAACAGGATCGAACTCAGGAATGAGAGCAAATGTGTTGCCACCTTTGCATCCTGGATATAAAGCATAATGCTGGTGGTACACAGGGATTTCTTAGTAAATGTTTCATAAGTGAGTGGATGACCCAAAAGTTAATTCAACTCTTTTTTCTATTGTAATGGTAAAATGGTGAGGTGGTACTAACATTTTCAGGCCAATGAGGTGCCAATCCAATTAAATGAACATTTATCAAGTTCTTATTACATTAAAAGTTCTATGATCAGCACAACAAGTTAGATAAATGTGATCTTCCCTCTCAAGATACTTATATTTTAGTGGAAGGTATGTATTTATACACAAATACATAGAATACATTGTAGGCCATGATAAATCTGAAGACCTAGGGAAGAGCTCATTATGGGAATGCTTAATTGCTAGTGGGGATGTGGAAATTCATCCAGACATTACTTTGAGGCTCCAGCCCTAAATACAGCTGGTGCTTGTTCATTCTAGTCTTCCACACTCATCTGTTAAAGGAATCGAGAGGTAGGTAATGCCTTAGTAACTGGCTGACAGAGGATTAAAGGATCTTGGCTTCCAACCTTCTGTCTCTTTTATCTGAAAATAACCAATATATATCCCTACAAAAGCTTCCTCATTTAGGCATTGATCCAATAGATATGACCAGAATTAGCCCAGCTATATTTTAAAATCCACTGATATATTATCCTTAAATTCCTATACATAAGTACAGTATATCCATTTTACATGAGAAAACTATGGCTCAGAAAATTTAAACAATTTCTAGTGTCATAGAGCTAGTAAGTGGTATAGCCAGGGATTAAGTCCAGAGTGTATGATTACAATTCAGTGGAAGATAAATAACCAGTTTTCTATAAATAAGGAATTTATAGAAAATTGTTTTAGAATTATACCCTTTGAATTATCAAAACAGTAAACAATTCTAAACTATTAACATTGCATGGATATTTAAAATCCTTTGACTTTAATTTTGCAATAATATTCATTGCACTACAAAGCAACAAAGCCAATAACACCAGTGATCTAATTCTAGTTACTGTAGATAGACCCTGCTCCATTAGCAACAGGAACTAATTAAAGCAAAGCCAGTTGTCCTTGGGGAAGACATTAGAGTAAAGAACACATGTATTGTTTGGTCACTACTTCTTCTATATATTCTTAAAGTGCAAACACATTTGGTTTTTACTGATGCTACCTCCAGTTCAACTATTATTAGTTTCTTAATTTCTGAAGTGCATAAGGGTAAGGTTAGCAATCTGAAATATCATCTTAATAGTTTTTTTTAATGTTTAAGAAACTGTGTGCTATATTCAAGTTCTGTTAACTTAGTAACAGTTGATACATCACAGTAAGAAGGTCAAGAACCTGAGAAGACTGGATGGTTGATAAAATTAAAACATTAAACACATTTTCATTAAATAGCTTATATGTGCGCTAAGTGTGATAAGTTTTACAGTTCACTGGGCTGTACTGTATGTCAGACACTTCAAATAATATTCCAAAGAGAGGCTATGACTTACTAGAAGTTTCAACTAAGGTTTAAACCCCATATTTTTCCCTGATTATTTTTAATTTTAATATAATACAAGTAGATATTAATAAAGAAAATATAAAAGTTGTAATATGAAAAAATAACTTTTCATAACAAAATGATTAGAGAATAACAATGTATAAATATACATTGTATATCGTGATCTTGAAAGAATATATTTTCATTTGCTAATCTCTCAGCTCATTTCCTAGCAATACTGTATTTTTTTTGCTTAAAACATTTTAAGTATTGACAAAGTATCTCACATTCTGCATAATTTTGAACAATTTCTTCTTATTTGACAATATTTTTTATTCTTTTTGGTCTTTATTTTCACTTTCAGTTTCTCCTACCAGATAGACAATGCAATATTTACAAGTGTTCAATTTATTTCACTTGAGTATGTTCTCAAGGTGCATTCATTAAACTTAGAAATGTCTCAACTTTATCCTTCTTTATAGCCAAATAGTACTGCATTATATAAAAAAAAGACCACATGCTTTTCTATCTATTCATCAGTTGATGTTGCCCTGATTTTTAAAATTGAGTTTATACTATGAAATGTTGTGAAATTTTACATGACAGTTGCTTCTATGAGTCAATGATATATTTTTTAAAAGATAGAAAAAAAGAAAAAAAGGAGCAAAATAAAAGACGAAAGTGAGGAGAGAAGGAAAAACAGGAGAGTCATATTCTGGGTTAAAAGAGAATTAAAAGATCAAAAAAGATAAACCAAATGTATTTCATAGACATTGTTTTGATCCTGATTTAAACAAACCAACTACAAAAAGACTTTAAAGACAATCAAGGATATTTGGTTATGAAACTGGTATACTATCAGTAAGACAGGTTTGTGAACATGGCTTTGTGCTACTAAGACAATGTTCATTATTTTAAAGATGGATACTTAATACATGAAAGGACAAAATCATATGATATTTGGGATTTGTTAATTATTTTGGCAAAGAAAAACCTAAAAAAAATAGATGAAGTAAATATAAGAAAACAATGTTTATTGAATCAAGGCCACAGGAGTTTAATGTACTATTCTTTTATGCAAATTTAGCTTTTTTTAAATAAGACATTTTAACAAGTAGCTCAGGAAATTTAACAAGGTAGAAGGGCTGCTATGGTTTTAACCCTAGACCTGATAGCTATATCAACTGGCAGTCCATGGATCTCTTGCTCTTTTATTTCTTTTATAATAAAAAATATTTTAAAAGAATGTTTAGGCTTGGCATGGTGACACAAGGCTGTAATCGCATTTGGGAGGCTGAGGCAGGAGGATTGTTTAAGTTTGAGGCCAGCCAGTTTGAGGGCCACATACTGAGTTCAAGGTCAGTCTAACCTACATCAAGACCTTGTCTTAAAATAAAAGTTTTGAAGTGACCCTGGCAAGCCAAAAGGCTGGAGACCTATGAGAAGTCTATGATGGTCACTATGAACTATGAAAATAATTCTTTACAAATCAAAGTATTTTCTAGTGTGTTTTTAATAAACTTTCCAAAAAGAGGGAAACATACTAAGGTCACCAAATGTCCTAAAGTTGCCCTGAATTGTATTCCTGCTCCCACCCTTGACCTCTCTAGCCATTCTTCACCTACTAGCTAGATTTATGTTTAAAAACATAAAGCCATTCATCTTACTCTGCTTAAAAACCTTCAGTGGAATCAAGTTCCTATAATACAGAGTTTTGTCACAATGAGCCACATGAAGCTACCCTCTATCTCTTAACTACCTCCTGCACTTTTTTGTGTATGTTTTTGTTTGTTTGGTTTTGTTTTTTTGCTTGTTTGTTTTTGAGACAGGGTCTCACTATGTAGTTGAGATTGACCTGGAACTCACTATGTAGTCCAGGCTGGTCTCGAACTCACAGTGATCCTCCTGCCTCAGCCTCCCAAGTACTGGGATTACAGACGTGCGTCACCACACCCAGCCTGTGTATGTATGTTTTAATATGGGGCCTCACAATGCAGGCTGGCCTTGCACTCAATATCTATGTAGCTCAGTCTAGCCTCTAACTCACAGTGATCTTCTGTCTCAAGTGTTGAGATTACAGGTGCGTACCTTCTGCATTTATAAGCCCAGGTTTCCGTCTTCTTTCAGCTCTTAGGTGGCCAAGGTCTCTCCTGGTTCCTTCCCAGAGCTTGTCAGAATATTCCACTTGGAACATCCTCTTCTACCCATTGTTTTCTCCAACATAGAATTCAGCTCTTTTCCCTCTTAGCACATTTTACTTTTCTTTTTTTTTGGTCACATGTCGGTTTTTTCCCTCTTCTGAAATGTCTATGTGTAAATTATGTATCACTATACAGACAAAAATATCCTATATTATTAATATTATTGATATTATTGAATCCAATATTACTGAAACATTTCTAAGTTTCTGATCCCCTAAATGTCATAAGAATATTGAAGTTTAGTTTTAAAATATGAAAAAGAGGAAACTTGGTGCATGTGATTCAAAAAGTTGGCCTAAACTTCAGAGGAAATAGGGTGAGGGAACCAAAGGAGTACTTGACAGGAGAAAATTCAGAGGGCAACAAATGATAATTAGGTTACAAAGCAAAACTTTACAAAAGGAGCAATGGCAACACCACTGTGATTCTCTGTGTCTGAAATCATTAAATTCCATTAACTGTAATCCCCCTTCTGTTCAGTTAGTGCCCTGACCTTCACCTTAGTTTTCTGCAGAGCAGAAATTTATCACTCCCATGCCAGGGAGCCAAAGTTGGCAGTAGTAATGCAAAAATGTACAAGTCCACAACCACACGGAGGTTTTAACATGGTTCTCTAAAAATTGAGAGCTTATACATACAACATTTGAAAAGGAAAGTTACTAAATTTGACTTACATACAACTGTACATCTATATTACTTTAAAATTTAAAAACTACATGGTGCCATGTACGTGTACCAACTCCACACAAGGAATGTAAACATTATGTACTACAAAAAAACGGAGGATTAAAGGATGGGGGAGAGTGGGAGGAGGAAGGTGAGGAAAAGGGGATGAAAAAAGAAATTAAGATGTGTTATGTACATGTACCAACTTCCCAAAAGGAATGTAAATATTATGCATTACACACATTACTAATTAATCAAAATAAATATATGGTGCTTACAACATACAAAACACTGGTTGTAAAATTTTTTACAGCTACTACCTCACTTAAAGAATTAAAGAGTAGATATTGTGACAGGGTATTATGAAACATTTATAAAAGTGTCACGTGCTGGTTCACAAAACAAGTATCAACAAATACCAAAAATTCAATACCTATAGATCTAATCATAGCTAATACAAAAATATGCAAGATAGGAGCCTTCCTGACGAAAGAGGAGAGGCAGGATGGGAGAAAAGGGGATGAGTAAAGAGGCCAAGTTTTAATTTCACTTAAAATGTGTGATAAGCATGGGGAAGAGAGGGAAGAAAAGAAAGCTCCAAATTGAGGGACATTCTATAAAAACAAAACAAAACTGACCTTTATTCTTATAAAAATGTCAGCATCATGAAAGAGAAAGCTAAGCATGGTACAGGATTTTCTTTTTAGTAAAAAGTACATTAAGACAACTGGTAAAATCTGAATAGTCTGTAGGTTAGGTTAACAGTCTTGGATTTGCATTTGCAATCTTCCTGCTTCGCCTTCCCAGGATACTGGAATTTCATGCATGCTTCATCACACCCAGCTAGTTTCCAGAATTTTTATAATTGTTCTATGGTATATAAGAGAATGTCTTTGTTTTTAGGAAACAAGCACTGGAGAGTTAAGGGATAAAGAAGGCATCATGTCTCTAGAATACTCCTAAATGGTTGATAAAAAAAAATCCACATATGTACTACAGAGCAACAAGGATAAAGCAAATGTTGGGAAATGTTAACATTTAGTAAACTGAAGAGTATATGTAAAATCTTTGTTATATTTTTTCAATTTTCCTAAAAATCTAAAATTAAGCAAAAAAATTAGGTTAATCATAGTAATCTCAATTATGTATACATGGGTGTCATACTATCCCAGTTAAATTTTAAGTATTTTATAATTTATAAAGAAAATACTTATTTAATATTAACTATATTTTATAATTTATAAAGGAAAAACAAAGCACAGCAAATTGTGCATAAACCTCTCTCAGGTCAGAAGAGATGAGAATGTTATTCACCCTACAGAGGCTGCCTGTGAAACTAGATACTACAGTCTCCACAAGGCTTTTCAAGCAGCAGAGTAGTCTATCCCCCAGGGGTCCCATGCAGGAAACAGCCTGCCCAACTCTTCAGCTCTGGTTCAATGTCTTATTTATCTGCCAATGGTTCTTCTCTATGACAGGACAGATTAGTAAATTTTAAAACACTTCTAGAATGTGTTTATCCATTGTTCAGATCCTGTGCATGTAGGTCAGTGTGTTCAGTCAGCATTTATGGAAGCTTTCTGTAAGCAAAACACTGCTCTAGATGATACAAAATAGTATAAAAGTAAATAAAAGACATGGTCAAATGCTTGCCCACAACTACAGTAGGGAGAAGAGTCCTGAGTGCCTGTATGTGCCAGTGGTTATACTGACCACCTTCCTTTTTGATGTCTCATTTCACTTTCAAATGAAATGGTTTTTAAAATGGTTTCATTTATTGCTGTTTATTCCCAAGAAATACCGGAGAAGTCAGCTTGTCCCATCTACTATTTGATAAAACAGAATTTACTTCAAATTTGACTCCAAAGTCCAGCATCCACCCATATTTTATGGCTCAAAACCATGAACACTGCAAAATTTCACTTACTCAATACTCTGAACATATTAATAAGTGAAAGTCCATCCTCTGGAAAAAACTGTTCAAAACCTTCAAAGTCTGGAGCAAAGAAGACTCCAGAAGTTTCTGGGGAAAGTCTTTTTTCTTTCCCTTTTACTTTTTTCTCTTGGACTTGTGGGAATTGAAGTCCAGGACCTGGTTTCTAATAGACACCTTCAGAAGATGGCTAAAGATCCCTTCTATTGTTTTTGTGCCTTCAGGTGCAAATGAGATAGTGCTAATTCAGAAATAATTTTAGTACATACAAAAGGAAAACAAAACAGGAAATATTTTCAGAACATACAATCAGCATTTAAAATACTGAGTTTTCAAATCACACCTTTCTGATACCACATTAGACACTGTCTTAATTACTTTTTATTTCTCGGACAAAATACCTGACACACACACAAATTAAAGGAGGAGAGGTTCATTTTGGCTCACAGTTTGTAGAAGTTTCGGTCTAGGCAGCTGGTTCCAAGGCAGGGCAGTATGGAAGAGGGATACTGTAGAAGAGAAAGTTCATGGCAGGGAAGTCAAGAAGCAGACAGGGATCAAGGGAATAAGAAGTACATACCCTTCTGGTCATGCCCCCAGTAATCCACCTCTTCCCACCAGGCCTCACCTCCTAACATGGCACCCAGCTATAAATTTATTAGTAGACTAATCTAGTATCACACACCTGTGATACAGAATCACAGACTAATGATCCAGTCACCTTCCCAAATCCCCACCTATGAGTGCATGAGGTTTTAGGGGAACATCTAGCTATAAATCATAGCATTCTGCCCTTGGCCACCAAAAAACCCTCATGTGAAACCCTTTACGCAAAGTGCATTTAGTACATCTCTAAATGTTGTCAAAGTCCTAACAGTCAGCACTGCTAAAAAGTCCAAGTCTAAATTCTCTGAGATTTAAGGCAAAGTCTTAGCTGCAAACCCTGGTGAAAATGAAAAGAAAGTTAATCACTTCCAACATACAATGCCACAAGGTAGAAATAGAGGGATTAAAAGGAAAGGGACCAAAGCAAGACCAAAATTTAGCAAGATAAAAATTAAATCCTGTAGTTCCATGTCCAGCACCTGTGCCAAGTTGTAAACTCCAAAAGGTTTGGGTGGCTCTGCCTGTAAGGCATAGCCAGTGGCTGTAACCCTCACTCATGGCCTCTCTTTTAGGCCAGTTTTCCTCACTCCTGGAGGCTGTCCTCAAATGATACAAGTTCCTGGCTTCTCCAACTTTCTGAAGTCTCTGCTGCACTTTCTTCTGCACATATTGCCTTCTTGGACATACTGCCTGGGCTCCCAAGCTTTCTTCTGAAATTCAGGCAGAAGACTCCCTGATGCAGCAGCTCTGGCATTCTGTGTGTCACTAAAACCAGCATCATGCGTGTGCCACTGAAGCAGCAAACATATTTTCTTCTCTCTTGGCTGTGGAGGTCAACAGGCTGGATTGTTACCAAGAATCCAGTCCTGAGAAATAAATTCTCTAGGCCGTCACCAGTCTGGAACATGGCATCTTGGGGGTCTCTTCTCCAAAGCAAAGTCTTTCAATTTTGCAATTCTGAGGGTATGGTCTTGCTGGTTCTTGTGATACTTTTAGGCCATCTTTTCTATTGTTCTGCTCCAAAGTACTTGGCTTTTTAATGCTAATCTTTTCAGCAACCAAGTTTTCCTCTGCTCCATTATGCAGGCCACTTTACCAGAGCTTCCTTTCTGGCAAAATTCAAAATTTTAAAAATCATTCTGCTGGGCCATATGCTTTCGATTCTCAAGCTACAGTTGGCTAAAAGCCCCCAACAGTAACCATGCTATTGCCTCAATGTTAGACTGCCCTGAAATCTCTTCTTCCAGATTGCTTAGTCCACTGCTCTTAATTGCAGCCTCCTGCAATGTCTCTCCATGTGAGCAAAATGCAGACAAATTTTCTGCCAGAGCAAAACACACATGGCTTGGAGTCCAACTGCCAATGGAGTCCCAAATGAAACTTCTTGTGCCTACTCTTTTTTTGCTGCATAGCAGTCATTCTGGTCTTTTGAGTTCTAACCAGAACCTCCCAATAAGCTCAACTCACAGAATTCTTTGGGCTACTTCTTCAGCCAGCATCTGCAAACCTTTCTAAGCTCTTCTCACAAGCTAGTTCCAGAGGCTTTTGAACCACATGATTCACAGAATCAACCCCACTCTTGTTACCAAAATCTGCCTTAGTTGCTTTCCTGTTGCTGGGACAAAAATACCTGACATTCACAAGTTAAAGCAGGAGAGGTTTATTTTGGTTCATGGTTTGTAGAGGTCATGTCAGTTAAATGTTTCATGGTCTCTCCTACACGAGAAACCCAAAATATAAATAAAGAGCAAACTAAAAGATAGGTAATAGGAAATAGGGGGATAGATCTTTTGCAAATGGGAAGGGAACCAGGAGGAGGAGGGAATGGAAAGAGGATAAAAAAAAAAAGATGTGTTATGTACATGTACCAACTCCCCGTTCCCCATAAGTAACGTGATCATTATGTATTACATATACTAATA